GCATTTAATAATATATTCAAAGTTCTAATTTTAGTTGCCACTATGTCTTGCATGTAAGGTAGAGTCAGTCTTCTTAATGGAGTATTAGTTTAGAATTTCTATAAGAATCGAATTAAGCCCTGAAAATGTCTCTTCTTTGATACACGAAAGCTCATTCTGTCTTCATCTGAACTCAATTAGGATGCAGATATGAAGACCAAGATTTTGTGACCTATATTTTGGTGGCAGTCTCCTTTCGATTTATATAAATGGTCTGACCTTGTTTTCGCAAATTAATCATGTGGTAAGGGAGACTTATTAGTTATCATTATTTCCAGCGTCCACAGTCCAAAGCTTGGGTAACTAATATAGCAAAAGACTTTGGACAAGGCACGTTCAATTAAGTCGCCCTGACAACACGACCAAGTTGTGAAAACAAGATCAGACCCCTTACAAAATAGGACGCCTCATGAAATGCATAAACTAGAATGTTCTGGTACATTCCAGTGGCCGTAGAGCAACGGGAATATGCCGTCATTTTCTGGCGAGATCAGGCCACAACTGTCTTTATCAGGCACTTTTACACCAAATGAAAGTTACCTCGACAATGCTATCTCGCAAGATTAATCGAAACTTGACTACACTGTATTTGTAAAGTCTGGCCTTTCCTGGCTTTACTTATAAAGCATTTGCCTCAATTCACAGGCTCAGGATTCGAACTTTGATGGGGTTGCCACTAAAACGATGAGACGAGGTCCAATTTGCAGTCCTTCTTGGATGAGATCACAATTTGAAGATGCACGATGGAGGAAAATGCAATATGATATGTATTCACCCAGTTTTGTTTAAGGTGATGAAGGACGGGTAGTCGAATTTTTTCACAATGAAATGAGTAGAGCTGACGTTTCCAATGAATTTTACATAGCCTCGCTTTCCCAAAAGTAGTTCTCATCCAGGCTGGACTGTAGCTTCGAACTTGCATCGGTCTTATCAACGACCCCAGAAGGAGTCGAACCGTGACAGTGAAGAATGTGAGCTTGACACGTTAACCACTCGGTCACATTGACACGAGTGCTATGACAATCGACTAAGTTACTTATTTTTCGTATTTAAGTAGAGTATTACTAATCTACGGGAAGTCTCGAAACTCTTAAGTGGTCTCAATATTGATACGGTTTGACCAATACGTTTCCTTCATTTACAATACCACCAAAGTTTATGATATGGCAAAAGGCCTGGCCTTCCTTGAAATTTACATCTGCCCTGTGACCCAAGGGCACTCGTGGCAATGTTGCCGAGTGGTTAATGTGCCAAGCCCCATTCTGCACTGTCACGGTTCGACTCTCGCTTGTGGTGCCGATGCGAAATACCTGTTTCCCTGATCCAGTCAACTGGCCTGGCATGTCAATATCAAAGACAACGTACGTTCAATAAGAGTGAAGTAGGGATACATGATAAACGCTATCAATCGTCATCAAACTAATCAAGAATATAGAGCAACATCTCAGTCGAAAATAGGACGAGGCAATAAAAGTGAAGAGGCTAGAGCAAATAACTAAGATCAATGATACTAATGAATGAGCTGGCAAGAGTCGAGGTAAGTTGGTTAAGATGATATTTAATTTTGCGAAAAAAAGTTGGGTTTCGAGAAATACCTTGCTTCATAATTATTGGGCTTACTTCCATTTTGAGTGAAAGTGTATTAGGTGATAATAACGAAGTTCGATTCCACCAGAAGACGACGGCGGATTCCTCTTGACCAGCTGTCGATTGGCTTTACTGGAA